TAAGCGTGTTTATAAGGACTGGGATTAGAACGCACTCTTGGTCGACGTTTGTGTCAAACAAAGCTGAAACACAGTCCAGGCTTTCTGGCCGTATTCTCACAAATTATTTAGGAAACTGAGAATAATTGTAGCAGGCAGAGTGTTGCAGTAACACAGCTGCTGTGTGACAGTGTGTGTGGCAATCATCAAACATGAAATCATTTCTCAGAGCAGACAGGAAATCACAGGCATGAGTCCATGTATGCTGAGAGGGCGGAGCCTGTGTTCTGCCTGTCTGAAGGAGGTGTGGTTTAGCACAATATGGTGCGAGGCTGAAGTGGGCAGTTTGAAAAGTATCAACATTCAGTGAGTGTTTACCACAAAGTTCTTATATGCTTCCCTACACGGATCAATAAGCCACACCCACACAGATTTAACATCCTGAGCCTGGGAAAAATATATAATGTGACATCAGAAACACGCGCAGTGTAAGAACCACGCTGATTATTTATCGTTAAATATTTTTAACGCTCAGGACATTAAATCACTTCATCCATTTACTCCAATGATCCCAGGAGGCTAAAACTTTAAGATCACGACTCATTACTAAAAAACAGAAACACAACAAAGCCTCATTAAAAAATCTAACCTGGCTGCAGCTCTGCACACGCTCAGTGCTTCAAACATAAGTGCTGCCCTGCTCACTAAAAACCAAACGCGGTTTAATCAGAATGGAAACCTTCTGCATGTGAGGACAGGTGTGGCAAATATTCCCCACCTGTCCTCCAATCAGAACCTTCTCTGTGGGTAAGTTTCCTGCTCAGGTCCGACAGGTTGAGTGGGAGAGATTGTTGCTCATTGTTGCCTCCTCCTCTCCCTGTGGGAGTCCAGACAGTTGCTCCATTATTCCTCCTCTTCCTCCTCCTCCTCCTCCTCCTCTCCAGCCATCACCTCCACCAGCAGCTCGGCTGTGCAGGTCGCCTCCCCCAGACTGTTAACGGCCTTCACTGTGTACTTGGCATCATCGTCTCCTGAGACCTGCAGATTTATACGACAGATATGAATCACATGCTACCTTAATTATAACCTATCACATTAATTCTGCTTCATGTTTCATGTTAAATGATTTCACTGAATTTAATGTTGATGTCAGCATGTTTCTGTGTTATGTTGTATTCTAAGAGACACTTAAAGGTTTTAATTGCTTTAAATTACATCAGATTTAAGTGAAATACATCAAATTTCAATAAGACTGCTGATAATTATAAAATATAAAAGGTTGGGCCAGTAAAACTACGAGGCACTGCCTGGGGCTGTTAGGTTAATATTACTGATATTAATGTCTTCACCATAACGATGTGTTGTTTTCATCAAAGCACAGGACAAACTCCACAGTCCTCATCTGCTCGCTGTCCTTCGTTGCAGCCGCCACAAACGCACTCATTCCCATGCAAACTTAAACATGAAGGTATGCACACGTGCAGAAAAACACGTGAGCTCTGCCTCATCCAGCAGATACAGTACTGCAGTTACTCGATAACTAACCAACACCAGGCCCAGTCCATACTTAGACTGAAGTCAGTATATCTGTATATCACCAATCTAATGCATTTCAGTACAAGGCTACCTAAGATTTACATGACCTCTGACCTCTGAAATGACTAGACTGCAGTTTCCTTCCTCATCGTAGTCGATCTGGAAGTGTCGGGTCTCTTTGATGGGCTGGTCGTCTTTGTACCACACCACCTCTGGATCAGGATAACCTGCAACAGCAACCGTTTCTTTATTAAAAACCATGTTTGCTATTCAGTTGTTACTAGAAGGAAGAATCATTAAGACGAATGCTTAATCAGACCCTCCATCAGGTTTGGGCTACAAACATCGTTGTACCTTCTATCTTGCAGTCAAAGCGAGCGGCGCTGCCCTCCACCACCTCCACGTCTTTGATGACAGTGCTGAACGTCGGCTTACACTCGGTTTTCTGCTCGTACTCTAAACACTCCAGGAACTGGTTATCCTCTGGAAACACACACATGCTAGTTTCACATCTTAGTGAGGACATAATCCTTTCCCAGCCCCTTACCATAAAAATGAAAGCCTGACCTTTAACCTAAACATAACCTAACTGTAACTTTGAAATAAGTCTCAAAAATGCCTCAAGATTTGTGGGGAATTTGGACCCCAAAAGTGACTGTTGGTCCCTACCCCATGCCAATTTGTGGTACCCACAATCACATTTAAACACACAATCCTTCATCAAGCATAATTACTGTGTCTGTGGACAGACTGTGACACAGACACGTAAAGAGCCTGTAGAGAGGAGCAGGAACCTCAGACTTGTGCAGGCCTTTGTAACTGTTGGCAGTCTGTCTGCGACTGGCACAGAACTGATGCTGCTTTCTGTTCTGGTCTTTCTACCTTCAGTGGGGGAGCCTTTCTTGGCGCTGACTCCAGCCATCATGGCCATGGATGACAATCTGCCGATGGCTCGAACAGCGTGACCCGTTTTCTACGAAGAAGAAGAAGAAAGATTTGCAACACAAATACAAAGACAGATGCAGCGACTGAGGCTATCGGTCGAACTACCAGTGAAAAAACATAAAAACATCTATTTGGAAATATTTTGGCTTGAAAAGGGCAACAAATGGGAAAATGAAGGACTTCCATGAAAAACACCCCAAACAAAAATGAGTTGTACGTGTGAACGGAGACCTCGGCACTTCCACGCTACGACACTTTGACCACACAACGCCAAATCTCACTCGATGATGCACGATGTCTGTCTGTGTCTGTGAACAAGCACGTCCAGTTGAAACGTGCGTGCATTCTCCGCATGGTCACTTATACTGATTTGTGAATAAATATATCTCTATTGTCCTGTGAGACTCTTGGGTCTCTGTCTGTCCTCGTGTTTACCTGCCACTTCCTCCTCAGGATGTACTTCTTCATCCTCTCCTTGGAGAGCTTCTTGGCCTTCATGGTGTTCGTGTCCTGTTTCAGCCAGGGGTGTTCGAAACACTGCGCGCAGGACAGCCGAGCCCTGGAGATGGATCGGGAACACTTTACATGAGCTAGACTTCAGGATTATTAATACTGGCACACTTTCTCTTACATAACACTTTCAGCTCCTGGTTCCCAGTTTACCTACTAATATGGTTTCATGTAACACACTGATGATGCACTAGGTCTTACTTCATGTCTTTTTTCAGCAGTTTGGTAATGAAGTCTTTGGCATTGTCAGAAATTTCATCGAAGGCTTCGTCCTCAAAGTCCCAGGTGGCTGAGGTCACATTGGACAGAGTCTCGTTGTCATTGTCGCCCATAAAGGGAGACAGACCACTCAGCCTGAGAGGACAAACCCACGACAACGTCAGCCAAACTAAATCAAGCCAAAACAAAGCGTGCACAGATTGTAGC